AATCTGAAGTTAACAAAGAGGTGTTAAGAATTATTTTTGTCACAATACCCATTGTATTGTTTTCGGCCTACATGTAGATTCACATTTGTACGTGTTAGGCTACAGATCTGACCACTCACAGTGTTGGTGCGAGTCCATGTGATGGCTACAGATTTGACCACTCACAGTGTTGTTGCGAGTCCATGTGATGGCTACAGATCTGACCACTTACAGTGTTGGTGCGAGTCCATGTGATGGCTACAGATCTGACCACTCACAGTGTTGGTGCGAGTCCATGTGATGGCTACAGATCTGACCACTCACAGTGTTGGTGCGAGTCCATGTGATGGCTACAGATCTGACCACTTACAGTGTTGGTGCGAGTCCATGTGATGGCTACAGATCTGACCACTTACAGTGTTGGTGCGAGTCCATGTGATGGCTACAGATCTGACCACTCACAGTGTTGGTGCGAGTCCATGTGATGGCTACAGATCTGACCACTCACAGTGTTGGTGCGAGTCCATGTGATGGCTACAGATCTGACCACTCACAGTGTTGGTGCGAGTCCATGTGATGGCTACAGATCTGACCACTTACAGTGTTGGTGCGAGTCCATGTGATGGCTACAGATCTGACCACTTACAGTGTTGGTGCGAGTCCACGTGATGGCTACAGATCTGACCACTTACAGTGTTGGTGCGAGTCCACGTGATGGCTACAGATCTGACCACTTACAGTGTTGGTGCGAGTCCATGTGATGGCTACAGATCTGACCACTTACAGTGTTTGTGCGAGTCCACGTGATGGCTACAGATCTGACCACTTACAGTGTTGGTGCGAGTCCACGTGATGGCTACAGCGACGTTCTTGTTCTACTTGACGGTCTACCACTGGACCAGTCAGAATACTGTTCCTGTTGAAGTTTTGAAGGTCTTCTTGTCTCCTACAGAGTCCACAATATTAACATTTTCTATCTGCGTGTATACAAGTGTAGAAGTCTGTGTTTGGTGGTTGTAGTGTATACAGGTATACAAGTGTAGAATTCTGTGTTTGGCGGTTGTAGTGTAAGTGTATACAGGTCTAGGGATGTGATTGTATCAAAAGTGTTTCGGTCCCAAAAAAGAGCTCTACTATACATGTTTTGGTGGTTATAGCGTAGTTTGCTCTTTTTTCTGGGGGGTTTTCTGGGGCGGTTCTTTTTTTTTTGGGGGGGGGGGTTCTTGAATAGTTAATTAGCGTGTGGACAAAATGGTGAACTGGTATAGAAGATTTAACGTCCTTATCAACACTGTTAGGTTCATTAAGAGGCGGGATCTCCGGGTATTATCTCCGAAAAGACCGAGCCAAATGGGGAATTCGTGAGAAGTATCTTTCCCAGGGACACAACGTCGGACTTAGCTGCGGCTCAAACCCCGCCGATCCCACAATCTCACGATGACAGGTCCTGTAGCCTAACCACTAGGCCACCGACGCCACCAATCAGTGTGTGTGAGTGATAGTATTAGTATTAGTAGGCCCTACAACCGAAGACAAAATCTTTGCTACAACTTCAATGTATAAATTGTGAGATGTGCCGACAAAATGAGTTACTTATCACGATCCAAGAATGGCGATATCGGCTGAAAATTGACACATGGGGTCAGATTTATAGATTTTCAATTGATGCCATTGTGTTCAAGTTTTACTGTGTCTTTTACTATTCCATGCTCACAAATTGCACAAACTTCAGCTATCAAGTTGATGTATAAATTTCCATAAATACTAAAATCCGAGAAGTAACTCATTTGGTCAGCACACCTCACAATTATAAAATTACCCTGCACTGGCCAACACAGCACAGGTATATCGTGGCCAGTCAGAGGGGACTTATGATGGAACGGATTTTTATGATTGACTGTCGGGAGGACTGGCACTGATATGTTGTTAATAACAATAAAATTTACAATAATTCTTTTGTTGTTCCATTGAGAATGAGATCTGGTTTTCTACTTTACTGAAGGAAGAAAAAGCCTCACTCTGTGGCAAAACTGATCTATCGTATTTACTCAACCTTTTTGAGGCATATGTGAGAGCATGTTTGTGTGTGTGTGTGTGTGTGTGTGTGTGTGTGTGTGTGTGTGTGTGTGTGTGTGCGTGCGTGCGTGCAGGCATTTGTATGGTTGGGATGGGGGAGGCATCTGGACAGCTTTTTTTCTGTTCTTTGCCATAACGAGGCTGTACTGTTACTGTTATCTAAACCAGCAATCTCTAAAGAAATCACCCTCTTTACGCTTAAATGGGGGGGGGGGGGGGATCTCGTGGCCTAGAGGTTAAGATGTTCGCCTCTCATTCAAAGGCCTCGGGTTCGACTCCGGGTAGCGATGGAAAAATTTCCTTCTCTCTAAAATTGTCTCCTTTCACCTCTTTTCCTGCTCTCTAGCAATGTTCTGTCGTCTGCTTTCGCTTCCACTTTCTGCCCCCACCCCCTCACCTCCTTTGCCCCCTCCTCGGGGCTCCTGGCTCTTTCTGCATCCTTGCTACTGCTACTCCTTGGCTCCTTCTTTCTGCTGTCTTTCACTTTCAGCCACACCCCTGATCTTCTGGTAGGAAAGATCTACACCTAACCTTCTCGGACAAGGGCGAAAAATCTCAGATACCCCATGTGCAAGTTGCGCACGTTAAAGACCCCTTGATGGTCTAAAATCGATAAGAGTAGGCTTCGGCCGCCACCCAGGCAAAATTCAAAATTTCCTACCAACTGAAAATGTTTGGTGTGTCCCGCGCGTTCATATGACCTTATGCAGTTGTGAGCGCCGTAAAACACTTATCACAAAAAAAAGAAAAAACCCCACTCAAATTACTTTTGAAGTACTCAATCCAGTATTACTGAACAAGATAACTTATTCTTCCAATTAAAAAAATATCAGCGGTAGATACACGTACATGTTTTTGGAGTTTGGACTAAAACATTTTTTGGAATTGGTATTTTTTAAACTGTCCTCTAACAGACGTGAGCCAACATGGGTGAAATTACTTGATTGACATCTTCAGAATATATCCCTGACCATCAATGATTTATTTATAGAGGCACCAGCCATCCATGTCCAGGTGCTGTTTTAGCCAGAATATATCCCTATAAATTATAAACAAACAGCATTCTCTGCCAGTTGTCTACAGAAAGTCATCCCAGAAGCAAACGACTGACCCAAGAGTCGGCACATTGATCATTGAAGCAATGCATTGCACCAATAAAAATAGCACTGAATCTCACAAGGGACATTGTCTTTGAGTAGCCTGCTTCTTAATTCTACGTCAAACGCATTTCAGACTGGAAGAAGTAGATTGATATAATATTTATACAAACAAAAAGAAAAACAGACGTATATATTCCCCAATCCAAGTGGAAGTATTATGAAAATGAAATAGAAGGAAATTTACACCTCTGGATTCACTGTTTGTGTCATTACACAAAGAGTTGTAACGGGTCTTCGTACACATTAACATTAGCGTAATCCTTCATTGAAAACTAATACAGTGGAATCCTGTTATAACGAGAGGGAGGGGACCGGTGCGAACTGTCCATTATAGCAGGATTCTCGTTATTAGGGATCCAGTAATAAATTCAAGGGAAATAATAAAGTTGGCCTAATCTATGAGTTTGGTGTTATGTTTGTTCCTTTTCGTATTTCCCCGGATGATGATGATTTTGTTCAACATGATCTCGAGGTCTTACTTGATCAAAAATCGAATCAGGTTTCTTTCTATAGCACTAGCAATGTTGACAAATCGGCTTTGGCGATCAGAAAGAAGGGGCTCTGGCTCTACTCTAGGCTAACTCGCCCGCTGTGTTGTTCCCCACCCCACCACACCCTGTGGTGCGTTGCGTCTGCTTGTGCACGTCACACATTCACTCCATCTATCACAGCATTGTGTCCTCTCCATCCCGCATCAGAGAAGTGAGAGGCACGGTATGCCTAGATAATCTAGACAAGGCTGGCCTATCACGCGATGCGTTCTGCTTGTCTGGGCATGCCACACCCTCCCTACTCATTCGCTCCGGCCTTCATTGTTGGTTCGCGTGGGATCTCCCGTTCTTTGTTTCGCTGTATCACCAAAACAACTTTCTCAATTGGCGAGGTTTTATATATGTTTAATTGGTCTGTGCGCTGTGCACAGCAGCAGCAATGTTCCGCTATAACCGACTCGCGTGACTGTCTGATTGCGCAATAGCAGTATTTTATTTACAAAGATAAAGAAGGAGAAAAAACGGGGTTTTAGAATAGTGTCTTTATAACAGACTTCTCGTTGTTTCAGGACTCGTTATAAGTGGACTCCACTGTACGATAAAAAGTAAAAGATCCCAAGTCTAAATTGAAAAAAGAACACAGAGCAGGGCTGCCCACCCACTAGCATATATATATATGGGTTTTTTTGTAATCAATGAATAAAATATCATTAGTCATCTGGCATAAAACTTCGACATATTATGGCATGGCCATGGATAGTTTTCTTCCCTGGGGTGTCAAGAATAGGAGTTGTAGTCGAGTATAGATGTGGCATAACAAAAGTGTGATGAAAAAAAGAGATTGCGCTGTGCTCATCATTGTTGAGTTCAGATGAGAAAACAAAGGAG